GATCCCCTCGAGTCCGGCTTCTATCACAGCAGGGAAGTCCCGGTCCCTGCACAAGAAAACGGAGGTGAAGAATTGGTTAAAGAGGTCCGCTTTCTCCTCTGACGCAACCACCAGATTGCCCAGCGTATCCTGCAGGGGTCCCACATTACCCGGCACCTTCTTCATCCTCCCAATATATTTGAAAAAGGACTTTTTGTTGTCCTTAATCTTGGACGCTAATCCGAGCTCTATGTCCGCCTTGGCCTTCCTAACAGCTTGCCTACAGGCCCGAGCAGATGATGATCTAATTCACTTAGATCATTTCAAAATGTTTAATTTAAATTTTATAGTTCAGGTTAGTTTAGTTTAGGAAGTTTAGATTAGATATTTGGAAGAGCTTTCTCACTAGGAGGGCAGTAAAACACTGGAACAGGTACCCAGAGAGGTGGTGGACTCTCCATCCTTGGAGGTTTTTAAGACCTGGCTAGACAAAGATTTGGCTGGGCTGATCTAGGTGGGGATGGTCCTACTTTCAGCAGGGGATTGGACTAGATGTGGCCTCCTGAGGTCCCTTCCAACTTTAATTTTCTGATTCTATAATTATTATTATTATTATTATTATTTTAGTTTTTAAATGCATTTTACCTAGAAGCCTATTTTTTTATTTTAAAACTACCAATTTTAATTTTTTTATTGGACACATTGTCAGAGCTAATCTTTTTCTGCCAACAAATTTCACTTAGAAACATTAACATTTTTCAGTGTTAATGATGCCAAAAAATTAATGGCCAGCAGTAGAGCGTGTGGATAGATCTATGTATACATGCACCTACTTGGAAGTAATGGTGTTGGGGAATAATGAGGGGTGCATTTTGTAGGCCATCATGGATTTAGCATCACTCCAGCCCTATTGCAATATATGTTCAGTGCTACCTAATCTTGTTTTGCAAGTGACTGCTAATGATTATTTTTATGATTTTTTTTTTTTTTTTTTTTTTTTTTTTTTTTTTTTTTTTTTTTTTTTTTTTTTTTTACTTGAAGCCCACACCAAGGTCGTGACCAATCATTGAGCCCTCTTACCTGAGCCCTTTTACTGTCCCATTGGCTTCAGTCCCACAGACTGATGCAAGTATGAATTATAGTTGCAGTCAATAAAATTCTCATTAGTTGCCTTCAGGGCCGGATCTTTTAAAATATCTGTGTGTGTAGTAGCTCCCATTTAAGTACTTGATGACAGTCCTTGGCACAGAGCAGTTCTCACTTAGAACTGTTAGAGCTACTGGGAACAAAACACTTGGAAGTTTTGGTCAGTTCATTCCCATTTAGGTGTCTGTATAAAGCACTCTTGAATATCTGATGCTTAACGTTGACACGTTTATCTTTTCAAACAGATGGTACTTGCCGGATTCCACACACATGAGTGACGTTGCAAAGTGCAAGGTCAGCAGTAACGCAAGCATTACACTTACCTTTCACTGGAAGCTTGAAAATTGAAAATGCAGTTTTATACCTAATGGAATATGCAAAGTGTTACAGGTGTGATGCCACAAAATGGAAAAATATCAATCATGCTTCTATCACTTATTGAAACCAGAATGACAGGTAATGTTACAAACTTAATCCCTTAGGCCAAATTCTGCTTGGAGCTGTACTGTTGGCCATATTCTGTCTATCCTGGATATTCAAAGAGGAGGATATAGCTATATTAAAAGTTTGGGGATAAACTAAGGTGATGATAACAGGATAATGAGGATTTTTTTCTTTCCAGTGTGTGTGCGTGTGCGTGTTGGGGGTAAACACAGGGGATGATGATTCTGATCTGAAGTATTAATTTTGTCAAGAGATCTTATCCCTTTAAACTGTAACTGCATTTTATTTTGTCAATGTAGGGTGTCCACTGGATACTATACTTAATAATGACTTCTTTTATAACAATGCAATTGGTAACATAAATATAGGAAATTAATTTAGTGGGCCTAATTCTAATTTCAAGTTTGCTGGTGTAAATCTGGAATAATGAGCTGTGTGTGGCTCATCCTTTGAGATCAGTGGGAGTAGGCTCACAGCTTTTACATCCCACCAAGGGTGGCTTTAGATCACTCATTAGCCAGGCAAAACTCCCAGGGAGAATTCAGCCAGATTAGCAGGGGAAAGGACCTTCCCTGGGCTGAAAAGCTCAGTGTGCCAATGCATATGTGAGAGAACTTCTGAATTAGATGGGACATTCATAAGAAGAAACTCTTCCCACCATCCCAGATCTATTCTGACCTTATTGTGGGAGGAGCGGGGAGCAATAAGCAGAACGCAATTCATGTCCAATTCAGTTCTCAGCTGCAAACCATTGATTTTACAGGTGGTAACTGGCGACCCAATTGGTCCCCTCATTTTTTCTGATTCGGGATTTGTTCCTGCATTTTATGTACCCTAAACTCCCACTAAAGTCAGCTGGCTCTCTGTACTATCTAGCAATGCCCACACGAAAGAAGAGACATCATTGCCTATTTAAACCAATTTGCTGCTTGCTGTACAAATCATAGAAACTGTAGAAAGAATAGGGTTGGAAGGGACCTCAGGTCATCTAGACCAACCCCCTGCTCAAAGCAGGACCTGCCCCAACTAGATCAGCCCAGCCAAGGGTTTGTCTAGCTAGGTCGTAAAAACCTCCATGAGGTTCACAATCTGTCTGGATCGCCTGTTACAGTGTTTTACTGCCCTCCTAGTGAGAACATTCTTCATAATATCTAACCTAAATGTCCCTTGCTGCAACTTGAGCCCATTGCTCCTTGTTCTGTCATCTGCCCCCACTGAGAACAGTCCAGCTCCATCCTCTTTCAAACCCCCCTTCAGGGAGTTGAAGGCTGCTATTAAATCCCCTCTCACTCTCCTCTTCTCTAAACTAAATAAGCCCAGTTCCCTCAGCCTTTCTTCATAAGTCATGTCCCCCAGTCCCCCCATCATTTTTGTCACTCTTCCCTGGACTCTTTCCTACTTGGGCACATCCTTCCTGTGGTGGGGGGCCCAAAACTGAACACAGTACTCCAGATGTGGCCTCACCAGTGCTGAACAGAGGGCAATAATTGCTTCCCTTAACCTGCTGGCAACACTCCTACCAATGCAGCCTGGTATGCTGTGAATCTTCTCAGCAACAAGGGCACACTGTTAGCTCATATTCAGCTTATTTTCCACCGTAACCCTCAGGTCTTTTTCTGCAGAGTTGCTGCCCAGCCAGTCAGCCCCCAGCCTGAACCAGTGCAGGGGATTATTCTGTCCTAAGTGCAGGACTTGTCATTGTTGAACCTCATGAGATTTCTTTTGGCCAAATACTCAATTTCTGTAGGTTACGCTGGATCCTAGCCCTGCCCTCCAGCATATCTACTACTCCCCACAGCTTGGTGTCATCTGCAGACTTGCTGAGGGTGCACTCTATGCCATTTTCCAGGTCATTGATGAGGGCATTGAACAAAACCGACCCCAGGACCCACCCCTGGGGGGACTCTACTGGATACTGGCTGCCAACTAGATATCGAGCCATTGAACTACCCTCTGACCCTGATGATCCAGCCAGTTTTTTATCCACCTGACAGTTCATTCATCCAGCTCGTACTTCCTTAGGTTGTTTGGGGAGTGTTGTGGGAGACTGTATCAAAAGACTTCCTAAAATCAAGGTATACCACATCCATTGGTCTCCCCATATCCACACAGCCAAGCATCTCATCATAGAAGGCAATCAGGTTGGTCAGGTATGACTTGCCCTTGGTGAATCCATGCTGACCTCTCCTAATCACTTTCTTCTCTTCTAAGTGTTTAGAAATGGATTCCTTGAGGATCTGCTCCGTTATTTTTTCCAGGGACTGAGGTGAAGGTGACCAGTCTGTAGTTCCCTGGATCCTCCTTTTTCCTTTTCTAAAATATAGGCACTATGTTTGCCATTTTCCAATCACTGGGACCTCTCTTGATTGCCATGAGTTTTCAAAGATGATGGCCAGCAGCTCTGCAATCACATCAGCCAACTCCCTCAGCACCCTTGGGTGCATCCAGTCTGGCCTTGTGCATGTCCAGCTTTTCTAAACAGTCCTTAATCTGTTCTTTTGCCACTTTTGGCTACTCACCTCCTGCAAAATTGTGCTGCCAGGTGCAGTAGTCTGGGCGCTGAGCTTGCCTGTGAAGACTGAGGTGAAAAGGCATTGAGCACTTCAGCCTCTTCCACATCATCTGTCTTTAAGTTGCCTCCCCCATTCATTAAGGGACACTCACTTTCCCTGACCTTCCTCTTGTTACTGGCATACTTACAGAAACCCTTCTTGTTACCTTTCACATCCCTTGCTAGCTAAAACTCCAACTGTACTTTGGCCTTCCTGACTTCATCCCTGCACGCCCAAGCGGTGCTCTAATATTCCTCCCTAGTTGTTTGTCCAAGTTTCCATTTCCTGTAAGCTTCAACTTCAACTCCGTGTATATGTTTGGGGTAGAAAGCTCTTAACATGTAGCAAGAAAGAAAAGTTCGCCTTAGTAGACCTGGAAATACAGACGATGGAATGCATGGCATAGTTTCTTGGAAGCCATTGTAAAACGCCCAAAGAGGTGAAACTGAAAATGGTTTCAATATAGTTGACAAACCAGTCATCATAAAGTCACATAGTGGGGCAAAGTTTATGCTTTGTTTATATTTAATCAATAATATGTTTTATATTTTGAAGCTGAGTGTTAAGACAACTGACTAATACCTTTACATTCCTCAAAGTTATAAGGACTGCCTAAGATGGTGAGACAAAGAAGAGAGAACTCTATGCCATTAGCTGTAATACCACTACCAAAGATGAAGGCTTCAAAACTGCACTGTGGCACTCAAACTTTTTATAGTCAAACAGCTACAAGGTATTTTTAATGGGGTATCAAAGACCAACACAAGAATATATACACCATTATACATATGGCATTATAACATAAGTTTCAGTTATTAAAAACTCAAATGCTTGTTTAATTTACCATATTTATAGTGAATTCCTTGAAGTAAAATATCAAAGCAGAAGTTTTTGCTTTAGTTGGCTACAAGTATACATACAGATGTAACTCATTTCTGTGCATGTGTAATTTTTGAAAAAACAAATCAACACATTTTACTAAGAGACTTTGCATCTTGTTGTCAGGACATCATGTGACCCAGAGGAAGGCCAAATGAATGGTTGTGGAGAGACAAATACTGCTCAATAAATGGGAGAAGAATGAGAGACTGCAACAAATCCCAGTGCATCTAATCAAAGCAAAGAGAGGTAGGAAGAGAGACAGACACCACAATATATCTTACTTTATAGCTCATTCTGATTCTCACTCACTTTCCATCATCTACCTGTTTTCTTTCAGTGTAGTTTGTTTATTCCCCATTTCACTATTAATGTTCATTCCAGCCTGGTGCTAGTGTACAGATCTGAGATTTGAAGCACAAACCATATATCCTTATTTAAAGAGGGTTGAAGGGAACCAAACTTGTTCCAGTAGTGAAGAAATAAGAAATAGAAACAGCTATCCAAGTGAAAGGAGGAGTTTCCTAAATGAACAGTCCCAATTACACACCTACACTACTGTTCTTTGTCTACAGATCAGAATTAAAACTAATATCCAAAATGGAGGAAGGTTCTTTCTGTTTTTTTCCCAACAGTTCAGTTTTTCACATTAAGGGCTGAAATGTGCTTGCTGAAAGAAATGCACACAAAAGACAAGAACCTGTATTGTTTACGAAGCACAAATGCACTACACATGCTAACAAGCTTAACATCGGTATTAGCATACCCTTAACATGCTATAAAATATTAATTTGCATAGTCATTCCAGTACTGGGAACTTGGACCTTGACCCAGGACTCATTGGAATTCAATTGATAGACTTCCATTGAATACAATTAACAGACTTCTGTTAATTCAGCTGTCTTTTCTGTCAGGCTTATGATACTCATTCTTATGCCAAACTTGGGAGTCTGGGTCTACCGTGAATTCCTTGCCTGGTGTCAACAAATCACATAACCTCTGCTTTACTTTCCCTAGCTATAAAAGGGGATAATGTATTTACTTTAATTCCTGCTTTAGGCATTTTAATATGTCTTTTCTAAGGTGTCTAATGGCAGGTGACCATCATCCAGGAGCACTGTGAGCATTAATTAGATGCGGTGTCTAAAACGTTTGGAAGAGGAAAAAGTGCTGTAGAATTTACTGTCATTATCATCATCATCACAATTTCACAAATCCACAGCAATATAATTTGCTCATAGTCCGGGCTGTTTCACACTTCTGCAAAAATGCAAGGAAATGATTACCAAATTACCTTAATGAGTTTAGGAGACTAGTGGGGGAGGCACTGCGGGCCCAGAAGGTAGAGGAGATGGGAGTCCATGAGGGATGGTCGTACCTTAAGGGGGCAATCCTTCAGGCCCAAAGGATAACAGTCCCTGAGAGAAGCAAGGGGGTAAGAGTGCTCAGAAACCCCCTTGGCTCAGCAAAGGCATTCAGCAATGCCTAAGGACTAAAAGGGGGGCATACAACTAGTGGAAGGGAGGAGCTATCACCAAGGAGGAGTATGCCTTCTCGGCCCGTGAGTATAGGAAGGCTATTAGGAAGGTCAAAGTAGAGATGGAGCTCAGGCTAGCGTCCAGGATTAAGGACAACAAAAAGTCCTTTTTCAAGTATGTTGGGAGCAAGAAGAGGGCACCAGGCAATGTAGGGCCCCTGCAAGATGCAAATGGTAATCTTGTGGCTACGCCAGACAAGAAAGCTGATATTTTGAACAGTTTCTTTGTCTCTGTTTTCTTGAACAGGGACCGGGATATCCCACCTACCACAGGTAGGGACAATCTTGGGGATAGCTCTGTCAGGACTTCAGTCAGTGCAGATGTAGTTAGGCATCTTTTGGAAGGGCTAGACATATTAAAATCTGCAGGTCCAGATGCCCTCCACCCAAGGGTGTTGAGGGAGCTGGCAGGGGTCATCACAGCTCAGCCCTTGGCCCGGCTGTATGAGCATTCATGGTCATCTGGCCAGGTGCCAGGGAATTGGAAACTGGTTAATGTGATCCCAATTTTCAGAAAAGGGAGGAAGGAAGACCCAAGTAGCTATAGGCCTGTAAGCCTCACCTCGGTGCTTGGGAAGATCTTGGAGAGAATCATCAAGGAGCACACCTGTGGGGGGCCAGCAGGGGAGATCATGTTCAGGGGCAATCAGCATGGGTTCATCAAAGGCAGGTCCTGCCTGACGAACCTGATTGCCTTTTATGACCAAGTAACTAAATCCTTGGATGATGGTGTCACCATGTATGTAGTCTTTCTAGACTTTAAGAAGGC